AATATGTAGAAATAGATTACTCAGGTAATTACCTATCTACCAATAAAAAAAAAATCACCTTTAAAAAAAAAATTATGGAAATATAAGCTTTCAAAATCTACCCATAAAATGCTATGTTTTTTACATTTGGGGGGTATTATGACGCACATCGGATAGGGTTGAATTAATGTCGGAAATCATAGTATTACAGAATTACATAATACATATACAGATAAGTATAACAGCATAACTACGCATGATTATCTTTTCTTTTTTTATATATCCGTTCTTCCTTTTTTCGCTCATTTTCTTCTTTTTTTCTCTTTTTTTCAGCTTCCCAGTCAGCTCGTTTCTGGGCTGCCTCTTCTTTTCTTCGTTTAATACCTTCTGCTTTGTTTTTTGCTAACTTGTCTACTTCTTTTAACATTTGTAGAGATTCTTCATTGGTAAAAAGTCGGGCGAAGGGGAAGTTTTTTCTTTTCTTCGGCTGATCAGACTCTGATTTATTTGTCTGTGGTGAAACTCGAGAAGGATACTTAAAAGCTATCTTTAATGCGCAAGTACTGAGATTTTTAAATGTTTCAAGTTCTTCTTTTAGCAGTATATTCTCTTCTCTTAGAGCATGAATTTCTGCTTCTAATAATTGAATTTTCTCGTTAGTACTATCATGACTTGAAGATGGTAAAGAAGACAATAAAGAGAAAGAAGAAGACAATGAAGAGGAAGAAGAAGACAATGAAGAAGATGTTAAAAAAGACGGTGAAGAAGAGGATGATGTTAAAGAAGATGGTGAAGAAGAGGATGATGTTAAAGAAGACGGTGAAGAAAAGGATGATGTTAAAGAAGACGGTGAGGAAGAGGATGATATTAAAGAAGACGGTGAAGAAGAGGATGATGCTAAAGAAGACGGTGTTGATGTTAAAGATAGTATAGAGGGATAATCATTTTGTTGAGAGAATGAAGGTAATATATTAATTCGTTCGGTAGATAAAGAGGGAGCAAGATGATTGGGGTTAATGGCATTAGGGTTAAAGGGCCATATTCCTGTAGCTCTAAATGCATTAGCTATCGTTGCAGGAGTATAAGTCTTAATAAATGCAGGACCAAGTATTTTAGCGAACGTGTACTTAGTTACCAACTCGCCGCCAGTTACGTGATGAAGCTCGTCACAATTTTTACTATATTCGGTTTTGAGTTTAGCGAAAGAAAGTTCGGATGGTTGAAGAATATGTGTTGTGTGTGGTGGAAGCGCATAGAGTAAAATTCCGTTTTCATAACAAAAATTAACACTCTTATAATTTATATGACTGCTATAGCCATCAAGCATTAGAAAAACAGGACGACGAGAAGGAATAGAGCTTATAAAATGCTCAATGTACATTTGAAAGAGTTCTTCATGCATATACTCCGAGTCAGTAAAACCCATAACAGAACTAGATGGAGCACCATTTAACAAGCCGGGAATTGCACGAACGGCTTTGTATATAATTAAAGGAGAGATATAATCGCCAGAGGCCGAAATCGTTGGTGCAACAGAAATGTGATCATGCAAATTACCATGAGCAACCTTGTGAATTTGACGAGAGCCTTTGGCGGCAATAACTTTTTGAACCTTGGGAATTATAACGAAGCCGGTTTCGTCCATATTCCAGATACGATCTGGGTAAGTGAATTATCTTGAATTATCTTATTTAGTTTTTCAAAATGATCCTTATTAATAATTGGATTAGATTTTTGCGCACGTGCCTCTGACAAGGCTTGAGGCACTCGAAAAGATAATTCGGGGTGGTTTTTCATAAAACGTTTCCACCAAGCCTTTCCAGGTCCACTTTCTTTGAAAGGGTGATTACGATCATCGCTATTTACAATATCCATTACGCAGTAGTTTACCCCAGACTTCGTAAAACCAAATTCTAGTTTTTGTATATTCAAACAATAACCCACCAATTGTTCTTCTTCGTAGCTACTCAAAACTGTTGCAGAGCCAGAATTGTTAGATAAATCATTTTTTTTAAATGCACGTCTTAAAGTCGCCTCTGCAAGACTGAATTTTAATGCAGCTGCTCGTATACTAGGTGGGTTGGGATCATTAAGTACTTTAAGAGCCGATTTTATAGCATTTTCATGTATAACTTTTGCATCTTTTAATTCATTAATAGGATTCTCAGTTACAATTTCGGGAGAATTGGATTTTTTGTTACTTAACATTTTGGTTTATTTATTTTATTTATTTATTTGTTTTTTTTTAAATCGCGAAATTAGATTTTTAACATGCTTTATATATTTTTAACATGCTTATAGGTTGATAGTTCGTTATTTATAAACACGATCATGATCGTTTTGTATGCAATCATGATTGTGGTCGCGATTGTATGCAATCATGATTGTGGTCATGATCAGGGCTTAAATGATCATATTGAAATGCCAGCCATTCAAAATTGTTATTCTTGATAATTATATTAGAAATCAATTGGCTGATATAGTAAACAATTAGATGTATAATTTAATGAATCAAGAAAAACACTTTAAACAATAAACTGCATGCTGGCAAATTACTATAGTAATTTAAGCCCTGGTCGCGATTATATGCAATTAAACCATAGTCGTGTTTGTATGTAATCATGACTGTGGTTATGATTGTATGCAATTACGATCGTGATCGTATTTGTATGCAATTATGATCTTGTATGCAATTATAATTGTGGATGATTGTGGTTAAGATTGTATACAAATAAATGAATAAGGTTAGACAATTGCAAAATTTGTAATTAACAAAGCCATTTTTCGAATATCAATAAACAAAAGCCTGTAATTAAAAAATTTTTTTAACTAAATTTGCAAACAAAAGTATTTCTCGAATATAAATAAAAGTTTTATACGATGTTCATTTCAATATAAAAAATTTTGAAACACTGAATATGTCATATCATCAAAGTGAAAATTTAAGCGATCTGATTTTAAGCCTTTGCGACGATTTAATGAGAAACACCTATAACACAGCCGAATTTAAAGAACAGATGTACTATGTGCTTCCGTTTCTTTATGATCGATTAAAAATAACTATAAAATACTTTTTAAAACTCATTATTATGGATGCAACCATCAATTCGATTGACAATTATCATGCTCATATTAGAGAATATAATCGAATTAATGATTTTATTGGTTTTTTTAAAGAAGTTATTTATTATTTCGAAGATTTAGCAAAGATGGACTATCTTCTATTAATGGATAAAAGATTCAGTAAAGCCGCAGGTGATGTTTTTGATATAGATATAAAATATCGATTTAATATTAAGGGTTTTGAAATGTGTAAATTCGTTGAAATGTTTTTTACACTAGAAGAATTTGAAGGATTTAATCATAGTTTTAACCAATTTTACCAAGGCTGTTATCATTTACACGGGAATGAGGAACTTAGTGTATATGACAGAATTTTTCGTCTTCTTGATACCGAACTTTCGACTAGAAATTAATTCATTACTTAATTTAGTATAGTATTTATGTAAATAAATCTATATAATTAATAATTGCGCCGGCATGTTCGTACTAACCTGATTAGTCAGGTCGTATCAGATTCTTATGAGTCGGTGCCAAAAATATTAGCAAATTTATGTTTTTTGGTTGTAACTCGAATTCTATCGCTTCAAATAAAACGAATTTAATATCATTTGATTCATCTCAGTAAGAGGAATCGTATGATACCAAAATTACTCAATTCTAATCAGTGTATCACGAGATATCATCAAAAAACGTGAGTGCGTCACAATACCCACCTGCGTCATAATACCCCCCCCCTCCCTTATGATTTATCGGACTACGTCAAAGAGGCCGGAAGAGATCGTCGATGACGTGCTGGACATTTTTTTGCCATGACTAACCTATTTTCATCATCCCTAACAGCTAATAAAATATCTGTCCTTGATATCACCCCCTTGATCATTACTATTAACAGCATCACCCGTCATTGCATCACCCTCTCATAATCCCCTATTGATATTGAAGTATTCGCTTCATAACGTCATATTGCCTTCAACAGTTATAAAAGACCCTCTTCGCTACTTCCAAATTATCTTTATTTCTTCGTACACCGTTGGAGTTAAATTGGCCTTCATTTATATTATTTTCTTAAGCTCTCCCACAACGGTTACACCATATATTTTTATTATCATTTCTAAGTGCACTGTACGTAAAACTTTTTTGAGAACAAAGAAATTTACTTTGTATGGACTGATTATCAATATCAGGTTTATGTGTACATTTTAAACAGGGTTGGCAATCTCATGCTCCATTGGGAAATTTCACCCGCTCCAGTCCATTGCAATTTTTAGTATTAAATCTTAGTGGTCTTTTTCACTTTTTGACAGCTGCCCAAGTGCATCGATATTTAACAGCTACCTACCTTGTTTAGTGCGTCGAAAGTGTATCGGCATAAGAAGAGCTTCATCCTGCGTTGGTAAAATTTCCAATTATATAATATAATTGAAAAATTTTACTTTGCGTTCGCTTATGCGAACCTGGGTTACACTCGACGCACTCGATGCAACTTCGACTCACTAAACAAGGTAAGCGCTGTTAAAAATCGAAAATGCCCATTGCTTTAAACGGATAGATTAGTGGAGCAACCAAAATCCAAAATTTAGGGTCGGAATAGGCCAGAGTTGATAAATTTCTCCCGAATCACCCAAAATTTTACTAATGAAGGTAGACCACGTACTAAGTAAAGCTGCCCAGATGATAATTTTGCTATAATATAGTTGGCTTGTATTATTGCTTTAATGCCAGCCTAGCTTCGGGCCTATTCCGACCCTGGATCTTACTACCGCTACGTAGTTTTTTCTAAATATATATTTGGCCTAGTCAAGTATTAAATAATATATAGCAAAATTATTTAAAACAAAGAAAAAAGGGTTATATATAAAATAAAAAAAGCACCATTGTTCCATCTATTTGCCAACACTTTTTTTTTTTTTTACCAATTATCTAACGCTATATATTCCGGTTATTAGTTATTAAGAAAAATGCAAGCAATAACATTTCAGCAACCATTCAAAGTATTAGTAAAAACTGTCCCGTTACCAAAAATCATACAAGATACTGATGTTATTGTAAAAATTAGTGTTTGTGGATTGTGTGGATCTGATTTACATAGTAAGATTCAAAAAAAAAAAAAAATTTTTAAACGTTAATTTGATTAAAGTTTTAAATTTTTTCGATTTTTTTATAAACATATAGTATATAGAGGAAATGAAGTTGGAATTGAAAAAGATACAATAATGGGTCATGAATTTATGGGAATTGTGAGCGAAGTTGGAAGTAGTGTTAATGATTTTAAAGTTGGTGATAGAGTTTTGTCACCTTTTACTACTTGCTGCGGGGAGGTGAATATATTAATGTTTAATAAGTTACGAAAATATTGTATAGTTGTATACGTACTTTTGAATTATAATCATAAAAGTTTTTATTAATTTTTTTTAGTGCTTTTATTGTTGCCGTGGTATGACTTGTAGATGTGAAAAGGTTCAATTATTTGGATGGGTTGAAAATGGTTACGGACTTCATGGAGGTCAGACAGAATACATTCGCGTTCCATTAGCATCTTCAACTCTCATCAAGGTTCCAGATGAAATTTCTGATAAAACGGCACTATTACTTGGTGATGTATTAAGTACCGGTTATTTTTGTGCTGAAAATGGATTGAATGAATTAGCACCTCAATTATCTTATCTAAAACAATACAAGCTGGATTATCAAAAAAAAGATGAATATGATGATGTTGTGGTGGTAGTTGTCGGATGTGGACCAGTAGGATTGATGTCTATTGCATCTGCGATCTACTTGGGTGTTAAGAATATATTTTCTGTTGATAGTATTCAAGAAAGATTGGAGCTTGCAAAAGATTTTGGTGCGACGCCAATTCATTTAATTGAGGATAATCCGATTGAAAGAATTAAAGAGATCACTAATGGAAGAGGTGCCGATATTGTCTTGGAGGTATACCTTAACTTGTTTGTTTAGAAAGTATTCCTGACTGAAAGTTTAAATGTATAATGTTTTGGATTTATGTATAGGCCGTAGGCAATTCATCAGCACTTGATTTGGCATTTAAATTACTCAGACCTGCTGGTGTATTATCAAGCATCGGATTGAATACTTCAAATCTGTTTCCATTCAGTCCTACGAAGTAAGTAACTACTTATTAATATAAAAAAAATATATATCGTATATTGTATCATAAAATTTAATAATGTTTTATTTATAGCGGTTACGACAAAAACCTAAAATACATATCCGGACGTTGTCCAGTTCGTCGAATGTTGACAAAAACCATTCCATTTGCATTATCAAAAAAATTTAATTTTGAAAAAATTATTACACATGAAATGAAATTATGTGATGGTGAAAAAGCTTATGAAATTTTTGAAAAAAAATTGGATAAATGTGTTAAAGTTGTTTTTAAAAATAATAATTGATAAAAGCTTGATGATTTTAAATAAAGATATTGTATATATCATCTTTTATTTAGATTATATATTTTACAGTAACTAGACATTCAAATAATGGATATAACCATACTAGACTCGATCGTTAAATCGCATAGAGACTTTATGTAGGGATCTAATCAGATTAATTTTGTATTGTTAAGAACTACGTTCTATACAAATAATATGTTTTTGTGTGATTTAAAACTGAATCTGAATCTGACTGTTCTTGATCAGAACTCGGTCTCAAAAGACAGATAAACGTTCTAAACCTCTATCTCGGCTATA